TGAGGGTTGAGGGTGAAACCTGAATGTCAAGCCGCCCGAACCCCAGAACCATTCAGCCGAAACCCCCAAACTCTGAACTCTAAACCCTGAACCTTGAACCTCAAACGAACCCTAACCCTGCTAACCCTAAGCAAAGCTTGCGAACCCCAAACCATGAAAAGCACCCTAAGCTCCACCTGCCAACTGCTAAAATCCTAAACCCCTCATATCTCCGGGTGACGTGGCCCCCTACAAAACGCCTCAACCATAAAAAGCGCTACAAGAGCTAAACCCTCCAGACCGTACTTCATCGTACTTTCACAGCCGAACCTTAACTCTGAACCCTAATCTGGATGCCCGAAACCCCAATCCATGATCCCCAAAACCCACCCATAGACCCCTGAACCCTAAACCTTAAACCCTAAACCCCTAATACCCCTAATACCCCTAATACCCCTAATACCCCTAATACCCCTAATACCCCTAATACCGCTAATACCGCTAATACCGCTAATACCCCAAAACCCCCCGAAGCCCCGATCCCAGCCTCCCATGCTTGTCCGCAGAAGGCCGGCGGCGCATCGAGGGCCGGGTAGGAGCCCGCGCTCACACACTTCCTTATCGACTTTAGGGCTTAGGGTGGGTTTCTTTAAGGGTTTAAGTTCCCTTTTACTTATAGGGTTCCTTTAAAGGGATCTATAGGGTTTAGAAAGGGAACTACTTTGGGCCCTTTGGGTAGGGTTTGGGGTTTAAAGCATTTAAGGATTTAGGGAATAAGGGACTAGGAACTAGGGAATTAGGCCATACTTCCTTCGATGGGGGCTCAGGATGTCGAAATTGGGGAGTGAAGGATTGCGATTTTATTCGATAGGGGTTTAGGGATCTGGAAACTCGTGGAAAAGGATTAGGATCTACTTTTCAGAGTTTAGGGTTCAGGGCAGTACCTTCGATGTTTTTCCACGGGTTTAGGGCTTTAAGGCTTTATGGATTCAGGGTTTGGGCTTGAGGGTGGAGGGTTTGGGGTTAAGGATTTTTAGGGTATTTAGGGCATTTTGCTTATTTGAAAAATTCAGGGCTTGTAGGTTTTCAGGTTTGAGGGCTTAAGGTTAAGGATGGGTTAGGGCTCACACGGCTTCAGGGGGTTAGGGTTTAGGGCTTGGGCTCAAATGCTTCAGGTCTCTGGCTGAGGAGCTTGGGGTTTAAGGTTCCATAAACTTTTAAGACCACTTGGAGGGTCGGGGGACTTAGTAATTATTGGTTATATTTTAAGGACTTACAAGTACCATAACCCCAATTAGGGTCCCTTTTCGGGTACTTATTATAAGTCTACTAACTAACTACTTGCTAAGTCCCCCGACCCCCCAAGCACATAACCCAAACCCGAAGCCCTAAACCCTTAACCTATCAACAGAGACAGGCCTCAACTGCAAGAGAACCGCCACAGAAACTCCATTCAAGGAATCCGAGATCCGGCTTTGGTTTAGGAGTTAAGGTTGAGGGTTCACTAGGGGTTTAGGCCGCTAGTCAGAGTTGCGGTTTGGGATTAGTGTTGAGCCCTTTGACAAAAGGGGGCGCTGCCATGCAGAAAAGCCCGTCAACGTTGACAATCTGAGAAGACGGAGGAAGGCATGACTAGAATCGCTTGTCGGCCCCAAGGGGGGCGGAGCCAACGGTAGTGCCAGGACGGCCACGTGAGCCGAACAACCTTTGAGTCCTTAGAGGCCTTACGGCTCTTCCTTGTGCCCGACGTGACGACGTACATCTGCCAGCGCGGGAGGTTCGGATCGCAGGCCCAGACGCGAAGTTCAGCATCAGTGGCGTTCGCAAGGGCCTGCAGTGAGATCGAGTCAGCCCAGTCGCCGGCCGTGGCGATTTTGAGGCTTTGCTTTGCGCGTTGCCCTGCAAGTACTGATATGGGAGTTTCCGAAAACTGGGGGTCTTTATAATAAGGATCCTACTACTTAGGGTACTATATTGGGGTCCCCTATTTTGGGAAACCCCCATATGATCTGTTCAGAGTTTGTGGCCACGATCAGGGTTGAGCCCAACAGCGAAAGCCCAAAACGCGAACAGAAATAACAGAAGAACATAAGCATGGTGTGTGATGCGTCTCTGCGTGAAAACCCTAGCCCCAAAATTGGAAGTAGACCCCAATCCGTGACCTGTAGAGCCTAGAGTTTAGAGACTGCAGCTGATTCTTCAAATCCAACCTTCAACCATCAGAAAGACCCTGACCCTTGCAGTAGAACCTGCATTCATAAGGCAAGACGGAAACACTATCAAAGCCCCTGAAAAACCCGAATGAATCCAATGAACTTCTGCTAAATCCAGACCCCTGGTATAGAATCTTCATAGTCACCCTCAGAGTAACCCTTATAGTAGACCGTATAAAATACCCTCCAATTAACTCCTAACCCTAAATCCTCCACCAAAAATCCTCGACCCTAACATAAACCCTCACCCCCTGAACCCCAAAAAAATAAACCCGCAAACATTCCAAAAACCCAACACCCTGTGCCCCGCCCATCAAGACTGAAACTCTAAACCCTAAGCCCTAAGCCCTAAAGCCTACACCCTGAACCCGAAACCCTACACCCTAAACCCTGCACCCTTAAAGATCCTTAGAGAACCTTAAAGGCAACTTTCCCTAAACCCTACACCTTCAAACATCAAAGAGCCTTATAGATCCCTTGGACAACCCTTAACGGAATCCTAAACCCCTGCAGGCCCTTGAAACAAACACAAAACAAGAGCCCCCACACCCTAAACCCTAAACCCTGAATCCTAAACCGTAAACCCTAAACCCTGAACCTTAAAAACCCTAAACCCTACACCCTAAACTCTAAACCCTAAACCCTGAATCCTAAAACCTTCAATCAAAAGCCTAAACCCTAAACCCTAAACCTGAAAAAAAAACAGAGCCCCAGAGTCTGCTGGTCCACTCGCGTCAGGCCCGGCGAGGCGTCGACCACCCAGCCGAGCCCCCGGGCCCCTCGGGGGGACTTCTTCTTCTTTAAGGGCTTAGGGTTTCGAGGTTTAGGGTTTAGGGTTTAGGGTTTAGGGTTTAGGGTTGGGGGGACCTTTAATAAGGACCCCTAGGTATAATACCCTTAATATAGCCACTATATACCCATTATATAGCCCATTATAGGATAAGGTCCCCATTAGGGCCTCCAGGTTTCTATTAAAATACCTCCGGGAATAAGACTGGTTTAGGGTTTAGGGTTTAGAGGTTTAAAGAAGAGCTCCTTGCAGGGTTCTATAAGGGATCTATAAGGTTTAAGGGTCTAAGGCTTAGGGTTTAGGGTGCAAGGCTTAGGGGTTAGGAGTTAAGGTTTGGGGTTTAAGGTTAAGGGTTTATGGTGATGAGCGCTTTAAGTTTTGGGCTTGGGGCTTGGGGCTTGGGGTTTAGGGTTCGGGGCCCTTGGTTTGGGGCTTCGGTCTTGGGGCTCAGGGCTTACAAGGGTTCAGGAATAAATGTTACACCACTACTGTTGATGGACAAAATCCTGCATTACCCCAAGGACCCTAAACTATGGGAATTATGGTATATTCGTTCTTATGGGTCATGCAGGATTTTGTCCATCAGCCGTATGAGAAGCCCTTTTTCCGGCTGTGCTTGCAACAGTTGTGGTGTGTACTGGGTTTTTGCAGTGTTGGCATGTGTTGCAAAAGCGTTTGTCGGTTTGAAGAGGATTTGCAGGGTGTTGTAGACTTTAAGGCTGTCAAGATCTGTAAAGCGCTGGGGTTTAGTTGGGTGGCTAGGGCTTCGGGCTTCCTGTTTCGAGGATTCCGTTGGGTGCCCATCTGGACAATAGATAGGGCCCCAAAAAGGCACCGGGATATCCCATGTAAACCCCCTTATAAAGAAACCTAAGAAGGCAGGGACATCCCTAACAACACAACTTATGCTTATGTCCTTTGTGGGTCCCTACAACCCCGACCCTAAACCCCAAACTCCTAAACCCCTTAACCCCAAACGCTAAACCCCCAAACCCTAAGCCCCTAAACACCGAAACCCCCAAAACCCTAAACCCCAAACCCCTAAACCCAAAAAACTCTAAACCCCAAACCCCTAAAGGCCAAACCCTAAACCCTTGGGGCATTGGGGCTGTGGCTTCCGGTGAGAAGCCGAAAGTCCAAGGGTAAAAGGAGGGACCCTTAATAAGGACCCCTAGGTGTATACCCTTAATATAGCGTGTATACCCATTGTATAGCCCATTATATCCTAAACCCTAAACCCTAAACCCTCAATATAGCCCCTTATAGTAGTCCTTATAGACCCTTTAAAGGAACCCTCTTCCCTATGGGTAGGGGTCCCCATTCAGGGTCCCTACCCTAAACCCCTAAACCCTAAACCCCTATAAACCCTAAACCCCTAAACCCCTAAACCCTAAACCCCTAAACCCTAAACCCCTAAACCCTAAACCCCCAAAGCCTAAACCCCTAAACCCTAAACCCCTAAACCCTAAACCCCCAAAGCCTAAACCCCTAAACCCTAAACCCTGTAGAAGTCCCCATTAAGGGTCCCTCCTTTTCCGCTTTGAGAAAGCCAAGCGGCGGAGTCGTGCCATCATCTCCTGGAGCTCCTGCAAAAAGACGCGGCGAAGGGCTTGGGGTCTCTAAGGTGTCCATAGGGGTGTGTGTATGTATATACATATATACATATATATATATATATATATATATATAGATGAGGAATATCAATGCGGGAATGCGAGGTCGGCGAAGCTGTCGGAATCCTGTTTCTGCTCATGCAAAGATCTAATTCAGCTGAACCTGCAGCTTTACAAGCGTCGATCCCCTTCTGCTTAGGTGCAGCACAGCCTGCTCTCCACTGGCAGCCCGCTGCCGGAAGGCAGCACAGGACAAGAGGCGGCAGTGCGCCTGCTTGCCTTCTCTGTACAAAGTTCCTGAGAACGGGATTCTGGGCCGGGGAGCGGGAGGAGGCGTCTAAGAGACTACACTTCAAAAGCCGTCGGGGCTGTACAGCGGCGCACATGCAGGGGCGGTATGCGTCCTCAGAAGCCTGCAGTCGGTGCTTTGACCTTCTTGGTTGGTCGTGGGAAGTTCTTGCGCACGCCGTTCTTGAAGATGACGGGCTTGTACTCGTCCGGCACACTTCCGTGCATCACAGGGCTGTTCCTGTAGCGCTCCACATGTGCCTGACAGACCACCAGGAAGCTTCTCTACACCCTCTGCGTCCCCTGTGTACAGACTCTCCCTACATTGGTCCTCTGTCTCTCTCTCTCTCTCTCTCTTCCTCCGTCGCTCTCTCTCCATGCCGCATGTGCTACCGCTACGTTCGCATACCCTCTTGCTAGCCCCTGCCTTGAGGCCTTGGTGCGGGCCACTCCAGCTCACTTGGCAAACCTTGGCCGTGGGCAAGGCCCAGCCGGAGAAGCCATCGAAGGTCTGCCACAAGGCGTCCACGGCCGCGCCATCCACCAAGTTCACGAAGGCATAGCCGAGGTTGGCCTGGCGGTAGAAGTCGCAGGGCAGGTAGACGAAGTCGTAACGACCGGCAAAGCCGTGCTCGTCCAGCATGGCCAGGAACATGTCGCGGCTGTAATTGTTTGGAACATTACGCAGCATGAGGGTGGTGCGCTCGGCACTTGCGTGCTTGGCGTTCCGGCCCGTCCCTGCTGCCGGCTGTGGTGCTGGCTCTGCCGGTGCTGCCGGCGCAGAAGGCGCGTTAACAGCCTCCGGTGCCTCAGCACGTTCATCACTGAATCTACCTGGGTAGTACGGCTCCTCGTCGGTAAAGGCTCCCATCAAGAGCGAATCCGTCTTTGCGCGGCGCAGCTGCCTGTAGCGCTGCATCAGGCTTCGGCCATTATCCACATCGATGAACGTGCTCCTCACAACCACGTTGCACGGGCCCTCCTCGTCTTCGCACACGTCAGCCGTACCACTGGAGCGCGGCGATGGGAGTTCGGAAGGGCAAGATTCCTCGACAGTTTCAATGTCGCTGTGCTCACCCGCCACAGTGCTTTCTGCATCACTGTGGCGGTCTGCGTGCTTCAACTCGGGGACAGCCAGCAAAGTAGGGGTAGATGACAGGCAGGACATGGCAACGGGGGCTAGACAAATGTTGATGGCCGTACTTGACGACTCCGAATCCTGATCCTGCACTTGCTGCAGCCACGTGAAGCCGACATGCGATGACAGCACGGCACTCGGCTAGACACCATGTCCAAACCAAGCGGCAGCAAGGGACTGCATGTTCAGTGAATCCAGTACAGCTCCTAACGTACCTCTTTTTCCTGACGAATTTCATGCTCAAAGCACAAGTCTTTACAAGCGTCGATCCCCTTCTGCTTAGGTGCAGAACAGCCTGCTCTCCACTGGCAGCCCGCTGCCGGAAGGCAGCACAGGACAAGAGGCGGCAGTGCGCCTGCTTGCCTTCTCTGTACAAAGTTCCTGAGAACGGGATTCTGGGCTGGGGAGCGGGAGGAGGCGTCTAAGAGACTACACTTCAAAAGCCGTCGGGGCTGTACAGCGGCGCACATGCAGGGGCGGTATGCGTCCTCAGAAGCCTGCAGTCGGTGCTTTGACCTTCTTGGTTGGTCGTGGGAAGTTCTTGCGCACGCCGTTCTTGAAGATGACGGGCTTGTACTCGTCCGGCACGTTTCGGTGCATCACAGGGCTGTTCCTGTAGCGCTCCACATGTGCCTGACGGACCACCAGGAAGCTTCTCTACACCCTCTCCGTCCCCTGTGTACAGACTCTCCCTACATTGGTCCTCTGTCTCTCTCTCTCTCTCTCTCTTCCTCCGTCGCTCTCTCTCCATGCCGCATGTGCTACCGCTACGTTCGCATACCCTCTTGCTAGCCCCTGCCTTGAGGCCTTGGTGCGGGCCACTCCAGCTCACTTGGCAAACCTTGGCCGTGGGCAAGGCCCAGCCGGAGAAGCCATCGAAGGTCTGCCACAAGGCGTCCACGGCCGCGCCATCCACCAAGTTCACGAAGGCATAGCCGAGGTTGGCCTGGCGGTAGAAGTCGCAGGGCAGGTAGACGAAGTCGTAACGACCGGCAAAGCCGTGCTCGTCCAGCATGGCCAGGAACATGTCGCGGCTGTAATTGTTTGGAACATTACGCAGCATGAGGGTGGTGCGCTCGGCACTTGCGTGCTTGGCGTCCCGGCCCGTCCCTGCTGCCGGCTGTGGTGCTGGCTCTGCCGGTGCTGCCGGCGCAGAAGGCGCGTTAACAGCCTCCGGTGCCTCAGCACGTTCATCACTGAATCTACCTGGGTAGTACGGCTCCTCGTCGGTAAAGGCTCCCATCAAGAGCGAATCCGTCTTTGCGCGGCGCAGCTGCCTGTCGCGCTGCATCAGGCTTCGGCCATCATCCACATCGATGAACGTGCTCCTCACAACCACGTTGCACGGGCCCTCCTCGTCTTCGCACACGTCAGCCGTACCACTGGAGCGCGGCGATGGGACTTCGGAAGGGCAAGATTCCTCGACAGTTTCAATGTCGCTGTGCTCACCCGCCACAGTGCTTTCTGCATCACTGTGGCGGTCTGCGTGCTTCAACTCGGGGACAGCCAGCAAAGTAGGGGTAGATGACAGGCAGGACATGGCAACGGGGGCTAGACAAATGTTAATGGCCGTACTTGACGACTCCAAGTCCTGATCCTGCACTTGCTGCCGACATGCGATGACAGCACGGCACTCGGCTAGACACCATGCCAAAACCAAGCGGCAGCAAGGGACAGCATGTTCAGTGAAATCAGTACAGCTTCTATCTTACCTCTTTTTCCTCACGAATTTCATGCTTAAGGCACAAGTCTTTACAAGCGTCGATCCCCTTCTGCTTAGGTGCAGCACAGCCTGCTCTCCACTGGCAGCCCGCTGCCGGAAGGCAGCACAGGACAAGAGGCGGCAGTGCGCCTGCTTGCCTTCTCTGTACAAAGTTCCTGAGAACGGGATTCTGGGCTGGGGAGCGGGAGGAGGCGTCTAAGAGACCACACTTCAAAAGCCGTCGGGGCTGTACAGCGGCGCACATGCAGGGGCGGTATGCGTCCTCAGAAGCCTGCAGTCGGTGCTTTGACCTTCTTGGTTGGTCGTGGGAAGTTCTTGCGCACGCCGTTCTTGAAGATGACGGGCTTGTACTCGTCCGGCACACTTCGGTGCATCACAGGGCTGTTCCTGTAGCGCTCCACATGTGCCTGACAGACCACCAGGAAGCTTCTCTACACCCTCTCCGTCCCCTGTGTACAGACTCTCCCTACATTGGTCCTCGCCCATCGCACTCTCTCACCCACTCTCTCTCTCTCTCTCTTCCTCCCTCGCTCTCTCTCCATGCCGCATGTGCTACCGCTACGTTCGCATACCCTCTTGCTAGCCCCTGCCTTGAAGCCTTGGTGCGGGCCACTCCAGCTCACTTGGCAAACCTTGGCCGTGGGCAAGGCCCAGCCGGAGAAGCCATCGAAGGTCTGCCACAAGGCGTCCACGGCCGCGCCATCCACCAAGTTCACGAAGGCATAGCCGAGGTTGGCCTGGCGGTAGAAGTCGCAGGGCAGGTAGACGAAATCGTAACGACCGGCAAAGCCGTGCTCGTCCAGCATGGCCAGGAACATGTCGCGGCTGTAATTGTTTGGAACATTACGCAGCATGAGGGTGGTGCGCTCGGCACTTGCGTGCTTGGCGTCCCGGCCCGTCCCTGCTGCCGGCTGTGGTGCTGGCTCTGCCGGTGTTACCGGCACAGAAGGCGCGTTAACAGCCTCCGGTGCCTCAGCACGTTCATCACTGAATCTACCTGGGTAGTACGGCTCCTCGTCGGTAAAGGCTCCCATCAAGAGCGAATCCGTCTTTGCGCGGCGCAGCTGCCTGTAGCGCTGCATCAGGCTTCGGCCATCATCCACATCGATGAACGTGCTCCTCACAACCACGTTGCACGGGCCCTCCTCGTCTTCGCACACGTCAGCCGTACCACTGGAGCGCGGCGATGGGACTTCGGAAGGGCAAGATTCCTCGACAGTTTCAATGTCGCTGTGCTCACCCGCCACAGTGCTTTCTGCATCACTGTGGCGGTCTGCGTGCTTCAACTCGGGGACAGCCAGCAAAGTAGGGGTAGATGACAGGCAGGACATGGCAACGGGGGCTAGACAAATGTTGATGGCCGTACTTGACGACTCCAAGTCCTGATCCTGCACTTGCTGCAGCCACGTGAAGCCGACATGCGATGACAGCACGGCACTCGGCTAGACACCATGTCCAAACCAAGCGGCAGCAAGGGACTGCATGTTCAGTGAATCCAGTACAGCTCCTAACGTACCTCTTTTTCCTGACGAATTTCATGCTCAAAGCACAAGTCTTTACAAGCGTCGATCCCCTTCTGCTTAGGTGCAGCACAGCCTGCTCTCCACTGGCAGCCCGCTGCCGGAAGGCAGCACAGGACAAGAGGCGGCAGTGCGCCTGCTTGCCTTCTCTGTACAAAGTTCCTGAGAACGGGATTCTGGGCCGGGGAGCGGGAGGAGGCGTCTAAGAGACCACACTTCAAAAGCCGTCGGGGCTGTACAGCGGCGCACATGCAGGGGCGGTATGCGTCCTCAGAAGCCTGCAGTCGGTGCTTTGACCTTCTTGGTTGGTCGTGGGAAGTTCTTGCGCACGCCGTTCTTGAAGATGACGGGCTTGTACTCGTCCGGCACACTTCGGTGCATCACAGGGCTGTTCCTGTAGCGCTCCACATGTGCCTGACAGACCACCAGGAAGCTTCTCTACACCCTCTCCGTCCCCTGTGTACAGACTCTCCCTACATTGGTCCTCGCCCATCGCACTCTCTCACCCACTCTCTCTCTCTCTCTCTTCCTCCCTCGCTCTCTCTCCATGCCGCATGTGCTACCGCTACGTTCGCATACCCTCTTGCTAGCCCCTGCCTTGAAGCCTTGGTGCGGGCCACTCCAGCTCACTTGGCAAACCTTGGCCGTGGGCAAGGCCCAGCCGGAGAAGCCATCGAAGGTCTGCCACAAGGCGTCCACGGCCGCGCCATCCACCAAGTTCACGAAGGCATAGCCGAGGTTGGCCTGGCGGTAGAAGTCGCAGGGCAGGTAGACGAAATCGTAACGACCGGCAAAGCCGTGCTCGTCCAGCATGGCCAGGAACATGTCGCGGCTGTAATTGTTTGGAACATTACGCAGCATGAGGGTGGTGCGCTCGGCACTTGCGTGCTTGGCGTCCCGGCCCGTCCCTGCTGCCGGCTGTGGTGCTGGCTCTGCCGGTGCTGCCGGCACAGAAGGCGCGTTAACAGCCTCCGGTGCCTCAGCACGTTCATCACTGAATCTACCTGGGTAGTACGGCTCCTCGTCGGTAAAGGCTCCCATCAAGAGCGAATCCGTCTTTGCGCGGCGCAGTTGCCTGTAGCGCTGCATCAGGCTTCGGCCATCATCCACATCGATGAACGTGCTCCTCACAACCACGTTGCACGGGCCCTCCTCGTCTTCGCACACGTCAGCCGTACCACTGGAGCGCGGCGATGGGACTTCGGAAGGGCAAGATTCCTCGACAGTTTCAATGTCGCTGTGCTCACCCGCCACAGTGCTTTCTGCATCACTGTGGCGGTCTGCGTGCTTCAACTCGGGGACAGCCAGCAAAGTAGGGGTAGATGACAGGCAGGACATGGCAACGGGGGCTAGACAAATGTTGATGGCCGTACTTGACGACTCCAAGTCCTGATCCTGCACTTGCTGCAGCCACGTGAAGCCGACATGCGATGACAGCACGGCACTCGGCTAGACACCATGTCCAAACCAAGCGGCAGCAAGGGACTGCATGTCCAGTGAATCCAGTACAGCTCCTAACGTACCTCTTTTTCCTGACGAATTTCATGCTCAAAGCACAAGTCTTTACAAGCGTCGATCCCCTTCTGCTTAGGTGCAGCACAGCCTGCTCTCCACTGGCAGCCCGCTGCCGGAAGGCAGCACAGGACAAGAGGCGGCAGTGCGCCTGCTTGCCTTCTCTGTACAAAGTTCCTGAGAACGGGATTCTGGGCCGGGGAGCGGGAGGAGGCATCTAAGAGACCACACTTCAAAAGCCGTCGGGGCTGTACAGCGGCGCACATGCAGGGGCGGTATGCGTCCTCAGAAGCCTGCAGTCGGTGCTTTGACCTTCTTGGTTGGTCGTGGGAAGTTCTTGCGCACGCCGTTCTTGAAGATGACGGGCTTGTACTCGTCCGGCACACTTCGGTGCATCACAGGGCTGTTCCTGTAGCGCTCCACATGTGCCTGACAGACCACCAGGAAGCTTCTCTACACCCTCTCCGTCCCCTGTGTACAGACTCTCCCTACATTGGTCCTCGCCCTCACCCACTCTCTCTCTCTCTCTCTTCCTCCGTCGCTCTCTCTCCATGCCGCATGTGCTACCGCTACGTTCGCATACCCTCTTGCTAGCCCCTGCCTTGAAGCCTTGGTGCGGGCCACTCCAGCTCACTTGGCAAACCTTGGCCGTGGGCAAGGCCCAGCCGGAGAAGCCATCGAAGGTCTGCCACAAGGCGTCCACGGCCGCGCCATCCACCAAGTTCACGAAGGCATAGCCGAGGTTGGCCTGGCGGTAGAAGTCGCAGGGCAGGTAGACGAAGTCGTAACGACCGGCAAAGCCGTGCTCGTCCAGCATGGCCAGGAACATGTCGCGGCTGTAATTGTTTGGAACATTACGCAGCATGAGGGTGGTGCGCTCGGCACTTGCGTGCTTGGCGTCCCGGCCCGTCCCTGCTGCCGGCTGTGGTGCTGGCTCTGCCGGTGCTGCCGGCACAGAAGGCGCGTTAACAGCCTCCGGTGCCTCAGCACGTTCATCACTGAATCTACCTGGGTAGTACGGCTCCTCGTCGGTAAAGGCTCCCATCAAGAGCGAATCCGTCTTTGCGCGGCGCAGCTGCCTGTAGCGCTGCATCAGGCTTCGGCCATCATCCACATCGATGAACGTGCTCCTCACAACCACGTTGCACGGGCCCTCCTCGTCTTCGCACACGTCAGCCGTACCACTGGAGCGCGGCGATGGGACTTCGGAAGGGCAAGATTCCTCGACAGTTTCAATGTCGCTGTGCTCACCCGCCACAGTGCTTTCTGCATCACTGTGGCGGTCTGCGTGCTTCAACTCGGGGACAGCCAGCAAAGTAGGGGTAGATGACAGGCAGGACATGGCAACGGGGGCTAGACAAATGTTGATGGCCGTACTTGACGACTCCAGGTCCTGATCCTGCACTGGCTGCAACCATGCGAAGCCGACATGCGATGACAGCACGGCACACAAAATGACAGCAATGGAAGAAGACATTGTTGGAGGGCAAGCTGGGAGCCTCTCTCAAAGGGAATGTGGAGTCCTTTCTGCCACTGCCAACTATAGACGCCATTAAGACTATCTTCAAGATGTCTTCGCGACGATTTTGCCAGCAAGACTTGCGCAAGGCAAAAGCACAGGTTGCAGCAGCCTGCTTTTTGCACAGATTCTGTGTGCTAAGTAGTTCGAATGTGGCGCTGGGCATGTTGCACAAGAACTAAAACCCTTCTCTGCAAGCACCCTTCCAGCCGCGGCCCAGCCTTCCAGCCCGCTGGCAGCCCGGAGCATCTGTACACGACAAACCAAAGAACTGAATTTGCGGGATGCGGAGCGGGCGAAGGCCTTAAAAGGGCTGCGGTCGAGGCTGTACAGTGGCGTGAGCCCAGGGCCTGCATGCACGTCCTCAAAACTCTACCGGTGCTTTGACCTTCTTGGTTGGTCGTGGGAAATTCTTCCGAACACCATTCTCGAAGATGACAGGCTTGTACTCATCGGGCACCTTCTTGTGCATCACGGCACTATTCCTGTAGCGCTCCACATGTGCCTGGATCGTGAGATGGTATGCTGAGGCCATATGGGGCCTGCTTTGTCATGTAATTAAACATGTTTTCGTGGCATGAAGACATGACCCTGAACCGCAAACCCCAAACCCCAAACCTGAGAGTCCCCCAAACCCGGAACCTACTGTTACAACAACATTCCCATGCAGCTCTCGGCCTTGCAAACTCGTGGCGCGAAAAACTTCTGGATGAGGAGAGGACGCCCAAACCATGCAGCAGAGGGAGGAGGGTCCAGCAATGTTAGATAGATGGATACACGGATACATATATACAAAAAAAGTGTCTATGTATTCAAATGAGTAGTGAGGAAAGTCTGCAGTGAAAGAAACTTCCCCGACAGGAAGGAAGGTCCAAAGGGCCTTTGCCAGAGTGTGAGACTCGTCAGAGTTCGTGCCTCCCAAACATGTAAGATGTAAGACGAAGAATACTGATAATAAGAATAGAAATCAGAAGAGAACCATAATAGGAAGAAGCAGAATACAAATAATAATGACGATAGTACTCTTAAGACTTAAACACCGCCAACCCTTGCTACTTGCAACCTTCTTTGTTGCTTTTTCCATCCTGAACTTGCAGATGCTTTGCTAAATTCTTTACCCGACTGTTGCGGCCCGAGGCATGCTGCCGACACAAAACACACTTTACTGATGTGCACTGAAGTGTAGTATAGTGTACTATGCTATACAGTACTATAGCATAGTATGATTTCGTACCACCTGCCTTGAACCCCTGGTGCAGGCCACTCCAGCTCACTTGGCAAACCTTGGCCGTGGGCAGGGCCCAGCTGGAGAAGCCATCGAAGGTCTGCCACAGGGCGTCCGCGGCCGCGGCATCCACCGAGTTCACGAAGGCATAACCTAGGTTGGCCTTTCGCTGGAAATCGCGGGGCAGGTAGACGAAGTCGTAGCGACCGGCAAAGCCGTGCTCGTCCAGCATGGCCAGGAACATATCGCGGCTGTAATTGTTGGGGACATTCCGCAGCAGAAGTGTGGTGCGCTCGGCTGTCGCGGGCTTGCCGTCCTGATCCACGCTCGCGTCTGCCGGTGGTGGCATCGGCTCTGCCGGTGCTGCCAGCGCAGAAGGCGCGCTAGCAGCCTTCTGCGCCTCAGCACATTCATCGCTGAATCTGCCTGGGTAGTACGGCTCCTCCTCCGCAAAGGCTCCCATCAAGAGCGAATCCGTCATTGCACCACGCAAATGTTTAAAGCGCTGCATCAGGCTTCGGCCGTCATCCACATCGATGAACGTGCTCCTCACAACCACGTTGCACGGGCCGTCTGCATCATCCCACACATCGGCCGTGCCACTGGAGGACGGCGATGGGACTGCCGAGGGGTAGGAGTCCGTGACGGTTTCAATGTCGCTGTGCTCACCTGCCACAGTGCTTTCTGCATCACTGTGGCGGTCTTCGTGCTTCAACTCTGGCACAGCCAAGAAAGTCGGAGTAGATGACAGGCAGGACATGGCAACGGGGGCTAGACAAACGTTGACAGCCGCACTTCGACGACTTCACGTCCTGATCCTGCACGTGTAGGCACACCGAGCCGACATACGAGGCGGACAACCACATGACAGATGTCCATGCTTGAAGTTCAGGGCCGTGCTTGATCAAACACAGAACTCTCCTGTGCACAAAGGACAAGGCATCAAGACTGGAGTACTTTGCCGACCCGGCGACAACCTGGAACCTGCCTGCTCTCCGTGGTCTACCCTAAATCCTAAACCCCAAAACGGGGCCTGATCATCGATCAGAGGGTTCCGGTGATAAAAGTTCACGGCCGCGAACCGTATGCCACGTTCTGGGTTGTCATCGTTCCTGGTCACGAGGATCTCAACATCCGCACGGGTTTAGCGTTTGAGGGGTGTTTAAGGGGTTTTGGGGGGTCAGGGTTTGAGGGTTTAGGGTTTCAGGGTTTAAGGGTTTAGGGTTTCAGAGTTTAGGGTTTGACGGTTTAGGGTTTAGGGGTTAGGGGTTTAAGGGTTTAAGGGTTTAGGGCTTGGGGTCACGGAACTTGTGCGTGACCTTCTTCGAAAGCACTAAACTCTAAAACTAGAACATGACCCTAAATCTTGTTGTCAGCCTCCCAAAAGGATAAACCATACTTAGAGGTATTTAGTAACTAGGGTTATAAATAAGGGAACTAGACTTATGATGGGTTATATCCCCAGTCAAGGTACTTAAAGCACCCCAAAGCCCCCAACCCGAAACCCTCAAACCCGAAGCCTGGAGCCCCAAATCCAAAAACCCAGGGTTTCAGATCTCCTAACCCTGAACCCTAAACCCCAAACCCTAAACCCAAAACCTCCCCCAAAACCTTATACCCTGAATCTCAACCCTAAGCCTTAAATCCTAAACCGTAAACCCTAAACCCTAAACCCTAAACTCTATACCCTCAACCCTAAACGAACATTAGGGGTACCTCACTTTGGGGTCCTTTACAGAAGGATCCTACTACTTAGGGTACTATATTGGGGGCCCAGGTGCTTGCACTGGAACTCCAGGGTCCAGTTGTAGGTTCCGTTGGCCGCCACGCCCACCTGGGCTTGTAGTGTTTATACTTGGGGGGTCGGGGCACGTAGTAAGTAGTTAGTATGTGACTTATAAGTACCCTAAAAGGGACCCTAATTGGGGTTATGGTACTTATAAGCAGTTACTAAGTCCCCAGACCCTCCAAGTAGTGTTTAGGGCTTTGTGGTCTTTACAGGGAAGCATCCCAGTACGTTTAGGGGTTTAGGGTTTAGGGTTTGAGTTTTAGGGTTTACCTGGAATCTTCTACATTAACCTAACTTTTTGGCGTTCCACGGTATGATTTCCAGATAGAGGTCCTCAAAAAGGCAGTTTGTTTGTATGGTGTTGTATTGAAGAATCCCACTGTATACTCCACATTCGCTTCTGACTCCTTCATTTCAGGGGCAGCGCTCGGGTTTTGGGTTGAGGATTTCTGAATTAGGGCTTAGGATTTCGAGTTTAGGATGTCAGGTTTAAGGTTAGTTGGGGTCCCTTTTCTGGCAAAATTTATGTGTCCCTGTTCCTCTTTTGTTGCGGGATTGTGGCTTTCAAAAGCTGTGCCAATGGTTGGCAAAACCACACGACGCAACTGAGATACGGCACAGACAGACATCAACAACGACGACGTGGCATGAGGAGGAGAACGACAAAATGTGAAGCTTCTGAAAGGCAGGAGTTAGGGTTTAGCGTTTAGGGTCTAGGGTTTAGAACAGTTTTTGGGATGTCTTAAGCCGATGAAGCATTCCCTCCCCAACTCGCATGCCTGATGTTGACTTCCTCGGGCACATTGGGCTCTGTGTAAGTCGTGAAACTCCCTTCGATGGGGATGGGGCCTCTCACCGGGTGTTAACGGTGGTTTTTACCCTAAGCCTTAATCCCTAAACCCTAAGGCAAGTAAGACAACCCCGGATTGGGATTTTGGGTTTGGGGTTTTATGGTTCGGGCCCCGCAGGGTTGAGGGTTTAAGCACAAAGAAGATACGTTCCAAAAACTAGGAGGGGCTTTTAAAGCCTTTGAAAAGTATTAGTAGGTAAGATCCTCTTAAGCCCAATAAGAGAAAATATAAAATGTCCCAAAGCCCTACCTAGAAAAAATTGCTCCCCCAATCCAGTCCTAATTCTGCGAACCTCCCAGATTGGAACAAGCAGCGTCCACAAGGGTGTTGGCAATGTCCGTTAAGTTCGGATTGAAGAACGAATGACCCGACCTGAAAGCGAGCGGCCCATACGCCGAAGGAGTGTAAGCCATAGGCGAAGCCCTCCTGGGTGTAATGTAGGGGCTCATACCCTACCCCTTTCTTAGGTCGCCTACTTCTTAAAGATAACAGATCCTAACCATAAAGCTAGGTATCCTAAAAAAGGGGTAGGGTATGAGCCTCTAGGTAATGTAGGGACCTTAATAGTTGGAAAGGGCTTTGGGGCAGAGTATACTTTAATCAAAACAAGGATCCCCCAAAGCAGTATTGGTAGTTAGTCCGGCCCCCATATTACCAGCTTCAGGCCTATAGTATCATCGCACTTTTTTGGTAGTATAGTGTACTGTAGTTCAAGCCGTCCAAACCTCTGTAGGTTTGACGGTCCTACGTAGAGGCTCCGGGGATTTCATAGGTGTCTATGGCTACCCTAAGGGGGCACAGTATTGGGTAGAGCTGGATGTAGGATAACCCGAAATAGGCCACATATGGGGGCTTCCGAAAATAGGGAATCCAAATATAGTACCTTAAATGGTAGGTTAGTAGGATCCTTATTACAAGGACACCAAAATAAGGTACCCCTATAATTTTCGGAATGCAGAGTTCAGAGTTCAAGGTCAGCGGCATAGGGCATCTGACATCTCACAGAATGCCGCGGACCTGAATCCCGTCCGTCCAGGGCTGGCAGAGGTTGTTTGTCAAAAAGGAGCCCCTAAAGGAACCTTAAAGGCACCCCTTAGAGGAACGTATACAGAAACCTTGCACCCTAAGCCCTAAACCCGAAACCCTGAACCCGAAACCCTAAAGGAACAATTAACAGAAGCTAAGAGTCCAAAGCATTACAAGGTCTTGCTGGGGCGAGGCTGGTCGGAGACATGGAGAAGCCCATCCCTTTCCGGCTCAGGGTTTGGGGTTTCAAGTTTCAGGCTTAGGATTTGGAGGTTCCCGAAAATGGGGGCACCCTAATATAGCACCCTACATAGTAGGATCTTTATCTTTTTAGGACCCCAAAATAGGGTACCCCTAACTTTCAGAAACTCCCATCTAGGGTTTAGGGTTTAGGAAGCTCATCACGAGCTGCTGCCGGCACAAACTGTGCCCCTCGCCAGTGTCCGAGGAACACCCCCGGCTGGCTCGTAATGTTGAACCTGGGTTCTTGATACGGAACTTAGTTTTGGCTGCCAGAACAAGGATCTCTGGCAAATATAGGGTTCCTGATTATGGTAACTTAAATCAAGTTCTTTCTAGCAGCGCCAGAAGGGCCGGGGAACGTTGCAAGGCTTCCGGAATGGTAGAGGGGTAGTTCTCTAAACTCGGATCCCTGTTTAGGAACCCAAACAAAGGCGGCACCCTTACCCTTATTCAAAGGGCCCTACACTCTACAAGGCATCGGGGTACCTTATTGTGGGATCCTTAAAACTAGGATCCTACTATTTAGGTACTTTTTGAGGGGTCCCCGATTTTCGGACCCCATTTTAGAGAACTACCAATAGACCAGGCCAGGGCACTCCAAATCGCAGACAGCATTGATCCCTCTGCCCGGTCCGATGTTCAAGGAGAAGAGGTCCTGGTGAGAGGCTCCACTATCCGGTGCTAAACCATAAACCCTAAACTTTTTTAAACCCTAAACCCAAAACCCGAAACCATAAACCCTAAACTTTTTTAAACCCTAAACCCTAAACCCTAAGACTCTAAACTTTCTGGCCTTTGGGTACGGAGCTTTAGGGCCGGAGGGTTGAGGGTTCAGGGCTTAGGGCCTTAGACTTTAGGGTTGAGCTTGGATCAAGTAAGGGCCCGGAAAAATTGGACTGGGGTATATCACAACACAACTTTATTGCGGAGAGACTAAGAGGGTGAACATTGCTTCCAAGCATATCCACTTAACTATTCGGACATCTGTATTGAAGGATCCTTCCTCAGGGACCGCTGGACGGAAAAAGGAACTTGTAGACGATGACGTTGACCAGCAGGGTTAATAACGAGGGCCTAAAAGAAGCTGGAATGGGGTCTGGTAGGCACGTTCTACACTCAAGAGTTATGTAGAAGCTACAGACGAAAATTCTATGGGCGACTCACTGCCACCTATATTGAAACCAGAAGCCACATTTGTGCAAGGTTCCGAGGTGACCAAGCACTGGCGACCAAGCGGGGGCTGTTCGCATCGCTGACGCCCATAAAAAAGACAAATATCCTTGAACATACCATCGACCCATAAAATCGCACAGTGCTCTTTGGCTGCTGAGGGTAATGCAGACTTTTATGAATCAGCGGCTTGTGTCTGGTGTGTGTCTAGGAGTGCCAAGTCCCCGAGGATGATGCGATCACTTCAACCGACATGATCACAATAAGGAACCGCCACAATAGTATCGGTAAATATTAAGGCCCCTATATTACCATCAGCAGTGGGAGAGCAACAGCGGCTCCAAAGAGACTCCAATATCACTCGGTTAGGGAATATACCTTGAAATAATAGTAAGATCCCTCATATGATTTAAGCCATATTCCTGAATTAAGAGATATTGGAGTTTCTGGCCCCAAAATCAGCGGCTTAGAGTTCAGGGTTTCGGATGGTTTCGGTTCAGGCATCTTCTTGGTTTAGGGGTTTGTTCAAGGGTACTTGGAGGTTCATGGGTAGTTCTAAGTAGAGTTATAAGTAGGGTAACTCTACTTATAACCCATACTAGGAACTAAAAACCCTACTTATAACTACCCCTGAACCTCCAAGTAGGGGTTTGTTTATCCAAGGGTAGAGTTGAATGTCGGATGCTCACAAGCGACAGCCTCAAAAGGCGCCAGATAGGCTTTGAGAACACTTGTGCCGCCCCTGAACTCCGTACCCTGCGAAACCCGAAACCGCTGAACCCCGGTAGCTTCCCTGAAACCCCCTGAAACCCCCAAACCCTTTATAAATCCTAAACCCCCAAACACCTTAAACCCCTAAACCCCATGCCGCTCCTCGGAACGATTAGAAATACGATCCCCTTGCTATATAGTTGTGTATCATCTCCTTTACCATATGAGTGGTTGTCAAAACTAAGGTCCCTTGGGTCCTTGATATAATACGGCACCTAATATTTAGGGTGCCCAAAATTAGGGTTTAGGGTTTAGGGTTGACAATATCGAAAACCCGCAGGTCCTTGTAATTCTTCGGATCCCCTGAATGCGCAGACTTCACTGACCGCTGGCAGGAAGCCTGCAAACGAGTCGGAGGGCCGGTTTAGGATTTAGGGAGAGTTTGGGGTTTGGGGTGTAGAGTTTAGGGTTTCAGTAGGGACGATAAAAGGCATGGTACAGCAAGTTGCGCAGACATCACAATGGCAAGCCACGGTGTCGCGTTTTGGGCGTCTGGAGGTTAAGGTGAAGATTTCCGGGTTTGGGCTTTGGGCTTCCTGGTAAGGCGTGGCCGTGAAATGCATGGCCAATCTGGCACGAAAGGGGAGAAGAAGCGCAGGGTAAGCGTTTGGAGGATAGACGAGCGTGCGCGCGCCCGGCGGCGATGCACTTGCCCGCGTCACGAAGCCGATTCGTTTGGAGCATCCCGCAAAATTCAAGACATAAACCTCCGGAGCCGCGAGACCCCACACCCCTTAAGAAAACGACAGCTGCCTCACGAGGGATTCTCAACTTAAGCCACTGCACCCCAAGACCTAAATCGCGAATCCCTTAACCCCAAGCTGCTAAGCCCCCAAGCCTCAACCCACAAACGCCTGAACTCGCAAAGCCCTCAACCCCCCCACTCCTCCCGGCCGAACCCGGATACGAAACTGGACCCGACACTCGGAAACCAGTGCAGCTTGGCTTGGCCAACAATCGTTCTACAGTCGCTTCAGCCTTGGTTTAGGATTCGGGGCTTAACCGTTTAGGGCTTAAGGGCAGTAGCTATGTGCATATTACCTGGCAGAAGACAGGAATAACAATAGCAATAATCATGAAGTAAGGATAGCACTAACCATAACAACGCTGCAAAGCAACAACTACAATGCGAATCAGCACAGTAGCAGTAATACCAACAAACAAAACTGAGAACAATGAATGTACTCACTAACTTGTAACAATCACGCTGATAATGAAACTACAAAGAGCAATAGTGCAATGAATAGCAAGAAGAAGGGCAATAACGGACTAACAATAATAACAAAAATGAAACAGTAATAATACGAGTATTTTGAGTGATGATGATGACACTGAGTAATAATTACTACTACTACTACTACTACTACTACTACTACTACTACTACCACCACTACTACTACCACCACGACGACTACTACTACTGATAACAATACTCATTATTCTTACTAGTATTATTACTATTTGGAAATGTAGCGCAGCAACAGTAGTGATACAACTGATTAATCAAGAATAATACAAAGCAAAAAGGAAATCTGGCCTTGATTGGCCACCGGCGAGGCTGGGTGCTGTCGTGATACGCGATCTCGTAGTACCTTTTTGTCAGCAGAGGTTCGGAGGCGTTTAGGAATTGGGGCTTAGGGTTTAATCTTCAGGCTTCAGAGTAATACAATAGTATGGAAACTCAACAAACCACTTGAGATGCAAAGTAAAGACAGGAACATAACATAATCTGAAGTCAGAAGCTACTCACATGACCTGGTCCAGCACTCCTCTCTACACCCACCGTCGCTAAAGTAAACTGAGCCGCGTAGGCTACGGGAACCTGAAACCCGAAAAACCATAATTTCGCACACCCTCATTAAACATTAACCCTCAAAGCCCGCTTTATTTCTAGAACATGCCTATGAGAGGCTTAAGCTCTTAAGGGTTCTTGGAGCTTTCGGGTTCTAGAGCTCAGGGTGAAGCATTGAGGGGCTTGGGGTTTGGACCGAGATGGGGTACTCTCTTCTCCAATAACCAGGCCCAAACAAAGTTCAAACTTTTTAAGCTAGACCAAATATATGAAGCCACAAAGTTTAAAGCTCTCCAATAGGCTAAGTAAGGGTAGGATGCCAAACGCTGTTGGGGTTTGATGGTTAAGGGTTCAGGGCGATGCCTATGGCGCGAAAATCAGACTCGAGGGCTCAAGCCCTTGACTCAGCAATGTCTCTCTAAATACACCCTAGGCCGTAAACCCGAAACCATCCTACACCCTATGCTACGGTTGATGATATAAATCCTGCATTACCCGAAGGACCCTAAACTACGGGAATTACGGTGTATTCCTTATCGTGGGTATTGCAGGATTTATCTCATCAGCCGTAGAGTTATTTGGTTTGGGATGCTGTAGCGACTTGTATTGAAACCCTCGAGATTGCGCATAAGAATCCAGCCACCCTCCACCCAGATAACGCTTTATCAGGGGATTCTTACTAATGTAGAATAAGGCCCTGGGGCATATCATGGTACAGTTATGGTAAAGGGTAACTGTTTAGTTTTAAAATTTAGGCCCCTGTATTACTACGAGGGATCCTTAAAGAAAGGACTTTGAAGTCTGGTAGATGCAGGGCACACACCCCAGAACTTTGCGAGGTCGAAATTGCTCCGGACCTTGGGAACTGAGGGACATGTAACTTAGGGTAAGGGTTCAAGGTTTCCAGTACTTATGAAATTTAGGGTTGGGTATGAGCCCTATGAAACGAATATCGTGCGCATTACCGTTATGGCAGCTGACTCCGTTAGCAGATACAGACTACACCCCTAACAATCGCTGTCCTGTTACTTCCAGTGGTTGATGGAACTCGTTCTTGCACGAGCTGCATCCTAAACCCTAAACCCTAAACCTGCCGAGCCCCCCAAACCTGTGCGCAACCTAAAACCGGCCCCTGTGGAAAACTTCGGAGGCTCTTCACTCTTCACTTACTAAACCCTAAACCCTACATACCCTGCACCCTAAACCCTACACCCTACACCCTATCCCTACACCTTAAACGCCAAATACCGCAAACCCTGAACCCTACACCCTAATCCCTACAGCCCAAACCCTAAACCCTCATTTACTGAGACCGCAAACCCTCGAAGCCCATGCCCCTGTGGTCCAAACCCAAGAACACACTAAGGTGCAAGGCTCCAACACACTGAGGTCGAACATCTGGAACCTGCAAGGTTTGCACCAGACCCCAGAAACTTCAACCCCAACCTGCTAAACCCTTGTCATGCATGGCATTGACTTCTGGTAGGCTTGCCGCACCTGCCGCCTAGTTTATCAGCAGGGCATAACTAACCTGTCTCAAGACGGTCCATACCCAGCGCCGCTAAACCCTAAACCCTAAAGCCTTTGCTGGCGACCAGGCTGTCCCTGTAGTAGCTGTAACACAAAAGCCTGAATAACTCTATTCCTGAAGGGTTCCTGATTACAACGTATACCGCAATAAAGTGTACGAGCTTGTTCCAAACCTGCTCTATTCAGACTTACGGCTCCTGTGGTTGTGGTTCCAGGCGTCAGGCATCACCTTTGGCCCACAGGGCCTGAACCCTAAAGCCCAAAACTCAAAGCCTCGACCCAACACCCCAGACCTTGAACGTGAAAACCCTAAATCCTAAATCCTAAAGTCCCAAGCCCCTCAAGAAACCCTCAACTTGAGCATGTCGAACCAAGAGACGAAGTCCGACTGCACCTGCCCACAGGATGGGACAAGTGGAACTTCTTCAGATCACAGGGCCCCCGTTCGGGGATTCTGTTAGGGTTCAGGGCTTACGATCCTTATGGGTGTCCTGCTATTTGGGGCTTTGGGCTCAGGGCTTAAGGTGTCCTGCTATTTGGAGTCTGCGTCCCATGTGTCTTCAGGACTCGGGTTTGGGGCTTGTGGTTTAGAAGAACACCGTAGTCCGACCAAAGAGAGTCGGCAAAGCCAAGCCATACCCATTCCCCCAACCCAACAGCTCCTGAACCCCAAACCCCAAGGCCTTGATTGTGCGGCGTGAAGTCTTTCTATTCGTTACGGCAACACTAGTCCTGCATCGCTCGAAGGTTTACAGATGTGCAATTTCTGTTGGATGTGCGGTTGTGGGGACATTTCCGAACCCTAAACCCAAAACCCTAAGCCCCAAAACCCTAAACCCTAAACCCCGAAACCCCAAACCCAAAACCCAAAACCCTCAAGAAAGTGACAAATAGAAATTGTTTGTCATTGCTTGCGTCAAACCCACTAAACCGTCAATTTCAAGCCCACCCCAACCCCCAGCCCAGCCCACTCACAAACAAATGCACACTCGACGATGTAAAACGATGTCACATGTGCTCTTTCATACAAAAAATAACGAAATACGAATCGAAAGGGCTTAGGGGTTAGGGTTCAAGACGATTCGTGTGCTTAATTAACCATAGAAGTTAACAAATCACACCAACCGGAAAATAGGTTGATGTTCTTATGCGTTACGCAGAGAGAAGACGAAAACAAAAACGAACAGGGTTCGGGGTGTGATAATGTAAACCGGGTGTGTAATCATATTCTTTTAGTTAACATGATTAGAAAAACATGTGAATCACAACAAGATTATTGAAGAAATACCACCTTGCATATGTTCTTAATGCACAAAACACCGAAGCGTAAATCGAAAAGGGTTTAAGGTTTGGGCTTCAAGACGACTCGAGCGTGGAGTTAATCGTATCATAAAAGTCGCTACCGAAAAAGACCGACCTTGTAATTGCATATGTCTTTCATACGAGCCCAACCGAGCCCAGCCCCGACTTTCCCGGCCAACCAGCCCAGCGCAGTGCTTTCAGCTCTCTGGGTCTGCAATTTTTGAAGGATGACTCGGCTCCTGCAGTAGCCCAAAAAATGCCTTAACAGATCGGCTCCTGAAGTACCCCAAACACTGCCGTAACAGATCGGCTGCTGCAGTAGCCCATCTCATCTCGGATGTGGCGATCGACGCCCCCAATAACAAGCGAAACAATTCTGGCTTGAACGCGTTTTCATTAACATGTGGCGACCTATGCACGAACAAGCGAAAGAATCCCAAGATGCCAGCTTGAAGAAGCTTTTGGTTGTGAGGGACGCACATTTGCGGACACGATTATGTGACCATCGAAAACTTGTGGCTGTGAGCAACTTACCAGCGACGAGGTTTGGGGGCACGATTATGTGACTATCGCAAGCCTGTGGTTGTGAGCAACTTACCAGCGACGAGGTTTGGGGACACGATTACGTTACCATCGCAAGCCTCTGGCTGTGAGCACCTTACCAGCGACGATGTTTGGGGACATGATTACGTTACCATCGCAAGCCTGTGGCTGTGAGCAACTTACCTGCGACGAGGTTTGGGGACACGATTACTTTACCATCGCAAGCTTGTGGCTAAGAGCACCTTACCAGCGACGAGGTTTGGGAACACGACTACGTTACCATCACAAGCTTGTGGCTGTGAGCAATTTACCAGAGACGAGGTTTGGGGACACGATTACATTACCATCGCAAGCTTGTGGCTGTGAGCAACTTACCAACGACGAGGTTTGGGGACAACATTACGTTACCATCACATCCTTGTGGCTGTGAGCAACTTACCAGCGACAAGATTTGGAGACATGTCTTTGTTACCATCGCCAGCTTGTGGCTGTGAGCAACTTGCCAGCGACGAGATTTGGGGACACGATTACATTACCATCGAAAACTTGTGGCTGTGAGCAACTTACCGGCGACGAGGTTTGGGGACAAGATTACGTTACCATCGCAAGCCTGTGGCTGCGAGCACCCTACCAGCGACGAGGTGTGGGGAAACGATTACGTTACCATCGCACCCCTGTGGCTGTGAGCAACTTACCTGCGACGAGGTTTGGGGATACGATCACGTTACCATCGCCAGCTTGTGGCTGTGGGCACCGTTCCAGCGACGAGGCTCGGGGACACGAATACGTTACCATGGCAAGCTTGCGGCAGCTTGTGGCTGTGTGAGCAGCTTACAAGCGACGAGGTTTTGGGAGACGATCACGTTACCATCGCGAGCTTTTGGCTGTGAGCGACTTACCAGTGAGGAGGTTCGGGGACACAATTACGTAGCCATCTCAAGCTTGTGGGTGTAAGCAACTTATGGGCGACGAGGTTTGGGGACACGCGTACGTTACCATCGAAAACTTGTGGCTGTGAGCAACTTACCAGCGATGAGGTGTTGGGGCACGATACGTTACCATCGCAAGCCTGTGGCTGGGAGCATCTTACCAGTGACGAGGTTTGGGAACACGATTACGTTACCATCGCGAGCTTGTGGCCGTGAGCACCTTACCAGCGACGAGGTTTGGGGACACGACTACGTTACCATCGCAACCTTGTGGCTGTGAGCAACTTACCAGCGACGAGCTTTGGGGACACGAATATACTACCATCGCAAGCTTGTGGCTGCGCGCAAATTACCAGCGACGAGGTTTGGGGACACGATTACGTTACCATCGCAAGCTTGTGGCTGAGAGAAAGTTACCAGCGACGAGCTTTGAGGACACAGTTACGCCACCATGGCAAGCTCGTGGCTGTGAGCAACTTACCAACGACGAGGTTTGGGGACACGACTACGTGACAGTCGCAAGCTTGTGGGTGTGAGCAGCTTACCAGCGACGAGGTTTGCGAACACGATTACATTACCATCGCAAGCTTGTGGCTGTCAGCAACTTACCAGCGACGAGGTTTGGGGACACGATTGCGTTACCATAGCAAAAGCTTGTGACTTGAGCGACTCAGATGCGACGAGCTTTGGGGACACGATTAGATTACCATCGCAAGCTTGTGGCTGCGCGCAAATTACCAGCGACGGGCTTTGGGGACACGATTACGTTACCATCGCAGGCTTGTGGCTGCGAGCAACATACCAGCAACGAGGTTTGGGAACATGATTACGTTACCATCGCAAGCTTGTGGCTGCGAGCAACGAGGTTTGGCGACGCGAATACATCACCATCGCAATCTTGTGGCTGTGAGCGACTTACCAGCGACGAGGTTCGGGGACACGATTACGTTACCATCGCGAGCTTGTGGCCGTGAGCACCTTACCAGCGACGAGGTTTGGGGACACGATTACGTTACCATCGCAAGCCTGTGGCTGTGAGCAACTTAACAGTGACGACGCCTGGGGACACGATTGCGTTACCATCGCAAGCCTGTGGCTGTGAGCAACTTGCCAGCGACGAGTTTTGGGGACACGATTACGTTACCATCGCAAGCTTGTGGCTGTGAGTACCTTACCAGCGACGAGGTTTGGGGACACGACTACGTTACCATAGCAAGCTCGTGGCTGTGAGCGACTCAGATGCGACGAGCTTTGGGGACACGAATATATTACCATCGCAAGCTTGTGGCTGCGCGCAAATTACCGGCGACAGGCTTTGGGGACACGATTACGTTACCATCGCAGGCTTGTGGCTGTGAGCAACTTGCCAGCGACGAGTTTTGGGGACACGATTACGTTGCCATCGCAAACTTGTGGCTGCGAGCAACATACCAGCAACGAGGTTTGGGGACACGATTACGTTACCATCGCAAGCTTGTGGCTGCGAGCAACGAGGTTTGGCGACGCGAATACATCACCATCGCAATCTTGTGGCTGTGAGCGACTTACCAGCGACGCGGTTTGGGGACACGATTACGTTACCATCGCAAGCTTGTGGCTGTGAGCACCTTAGCAGCGACGAGGTTTGGGGACACGATTGCGTTACCATCGCAAGCCTGTGGCTGTGAGCAACTTAACAGCGACGAGAACTGGGGACACGATTGCGTTACCATCGCAAGCTTGTGGCTGTGAGCAACTTACCAGCGACGAGGTTTGGCGACATGTTTTTGTTACCATCGCCAGCTTGTGGCTGTGAGCAACTTGCCAGCGACGAGATTTGGGCACAAGATTACGTTACCAGCGCAAGCTCGTGGCTGTGAGCAACTTAACAGCGACGAGGCCTGGGGACACGATTGCGTTACCATCGCAAGCCTGCGGGTGTGAGCAACTTGCCAGCGACGAGTTTTGGGGACACGATTACGTTACCATCGCAAGCCTGTGGCTGCGAGCAACATACCAGCGACGAGGTTTGGGGACACGATTACGTTACAATCGCACCCCTGTGGCTGTGAGCAACTTACCTGCGACGAGGTTTGGGGATACGATCACGTCACCATCGCCAGCTTGTGGCTGTGAGCGACTTACCAGCGACGAGGTTCGGGGACACGATTACGTTGCCGTCGCGAGCTTGTGGCCGTGAGCACCTTACCAGCGACGAGGTTTGGGGACACGATTACGTTACCATCGCAAGCCTGTGGCTGTGAGCAACTTACCAGCGACGAGGTTTGGGGACACGGTTTTGGGTTTAGGTTAGGTTTTAGACCGGCCAGCCCAGCACCAAGTTTTCCTAAATCAGGTTTCAAACAAAAAACCTGCTCAAAAGGTTCGCTCAAAACGTGTCGCTCAAAACTTTCGCTCAAAACGTTTCGCTCAAAACGTTTTTGGCACCCAAACCCTTACAAATTTCTATAAACCCTGAAGGCTCGGGCAGGGAGTCTTGTGGGCCGGTGGCGGTGGTCTGAAGGGTCGCATGGCGTAAACTTTCAGGGCTTCAGGGTCCCCGGCACAAAGCCTGCAAGCCCTACCCAGAGTACTCAGAGAACCCAAGACCCCTTGATTAAGGAATATACCTTAATTGATGGACGCCTTTATATTATGATTTGAAGTATATTCCTTAATCAAAGGGTTTGGGGATCTTTGAGTACCCAAGGTACCTCAACAAAAGCTAAGTGCACCCACCGTGGAGGGTCATATCTTTTTTGTCAAGGTCATATAGAGGCCTGAATGATTAGAATAGGGTTTGGGCGCCCATTATATTACAATAAGGAAGCCCTAACATAGCACTATAAGCAAATTATCAAGGCCTGTAGTGTGCTTTGGTTACTCTACTAGTAGGTACAAAACAAGGCGAAAGAGCGAACGAAAGCCCCACGCCTCCTGCTGACCGGGGCAGCGTGCTGGACAGTCTTCAGGACAGTCCGCCTCGGAGCTGTGGGCTTTGGAGTGCTTCCTCGCGGCTCTCAAGGACATGGGAAAAATAGATGAACCTGCATGGGTAGTATATGGCTCGCACACGGGCTAACTCGGCTTACAAGAGTTTTACCGAGGTTGTCCACAGGTTCGTAGGGTTATCTCAGCCGAGTATTTGGGGATTCCACACGGTCTGGGGTTGGATTCAGCAGTTCGCGTTTGTCTGTGCGTGCCCGTGGGTTGAGGCTGTGTTATAAGGCTGTACGATGCGGCTTGTGTTCGCCTTTTCAAGATCTCTATCGGCTGTATTGGCAGTGGCAGTATGAGTAACTAAGCAACAGCAGGGCAGTAGAAGGCCGGTTAGCAGCCCAGCAGCAGCAGCAGCAGCAGTGGCAGCATGAGCAGAACCGCTTGCAGCAGCAATTACGACAAACACAATGATGATAGAATGCAAGGCAGTGGTAATGCTGATAATGACTCACACAATTAACAGCCTACACCCTAAACCCTAATCCTAAACCCTACACCCTTCCAACCCTAAGACATCGAGCGCCATGCAAGTAAGTGCGGGCCTCAGCGCGGAGAGTGAGGAGGGCCACGACAAAGGGCGACCACCACCACCTCCCAGGAACCGAGAACTCGCCTGGAAATGCAACCGAAATGATGGTAGACCCTACCCTAAACCCTGAACCGTTTGGCACTTGTGTTTGGAGCTTCAGGGTTCAGGATTAGGGCTTCATGGGTTTCGGGCTTTTGAGTTTAGGGCATCAACCAAACCCAAGATTCGACGTATTGCCATGGTAAGTTTTCAGAACTTTACTGCTCATGAGCCGAACCAAACTTGAAGTCACGGAGTGCGACGCGGCTTAAAAATTTAAGGTGGGGTTGAGGGTTTAGGGCTTGTGGCTTTAGATGTGAGCCTCCGAACCTCAAGCATCCGGCACGGCGGCCCGAGATGAGCATGACAGATGTTGCAGCGTTGCTTCAAGGGAAAAGAAGGCATGAAGGGAGCCTACTTCTAGTCTGGTACTGCCATGCCCACTTCGAAAAAATGACAAGATGTTGCTTCGGGTGTTATGCTTGAGTTGAGGGGTTAAGGTTTAGGGTTTAGCGTTTAGGGTTGAAGGTTTGTGGCTTGTGCTTCAGTCGAAGCTGAAGCAAAAACCTGTAGGGAAGGCTTCGCAACACTGGACATCCTCGCCTGGCCCTGCTCCGCACCATCTGGACAGACTCCATGGCCAGAGAGCCCACAAAATAATCAAACTCCACCCAAAGAGCTCCCAAAGTCTCAGCGGGAGGCGCCCTAAAACCCTTAAGCCCTAAACAACAAGCTCCGAAGCAACAGTCTAAGCCTAAACCCTAAACCGATGCCTGAAGCTCCAAGTTCTCCATATGCTGAGTCAAAACATCGCAACGGAGCACGGACCACAAGCGCAGGACAGTGGCCCAAATAGTCACTTGCTTTACTTGAATTGCACCGGGGATTGGAGGGCCAATATTGCGCTCAAGATAGCCAAAGATTTGGCTCTGTCCCTGCACTTGCGGCTGCATAATCTGGAACTGCTTTTTCGTGGGTTCGGATCCGGTTGGGGTGCCTATGATAGTAGCCGCCATTAGGGGGGCCCCGATATTGTCAGCTTGCTAGCTATCGATAGGTACAAACCTTAAATGCTAAACCCCGAACTCAAGTTTGGAGATTCATTCTTTTCAGTTTAGTTTCAAGTTTGGTGACTTTGGAGTTTTCGGCTTTGGGGCCGTACAATCTCTGGAAATCGACTCCGAGAGCACTAGCCCGCTCGACATTGACACAACAGTCACAATAACACACCCCGTATTGTCCCTATTGCAAGCTATAGGTATGCTTCAATATATATTACACCCCTACTCCCTTCATCAAGGCCCCTACGTTCGTTCGGGCTTCGGGTACAGGGCTCAGGGTCTAAGCCCGAGATTTCTTCGCCATCAGTAAGGGTTTCTAAGTCTGTAACATGAAAAGCAACAACGTCTGCCTCCCAAACAAGCGAATAAGCACGCCCACTTTGCATCCTGGTGTTCAAACCCCACAAAATCCCACATATGGGTGCTGAAACCCTGAATCACCGAAGGGTGCGTCAGGATCACCAGAGCACTACAATCTAGATACCGGCACAATCCGTCCAGAACACAAATCACAAAAGATAAGTCTCGAGCTTCGCGGAGAGGACCTAGAAGCGCGACAGCTCACCCTAGCCCAGCATCCCCGCAACGCCTAAACCCAGAAGCCGGTGGTTTTCGTACCGCTGCTGCTGCGCATTAGACCTAGAGCTCGGCGGAGCCGTTTTGGCGACAAGGCCTTTTCCCTGTGCAGGGCGTGTGCCTTGGGATTTTGTGTCTAGGTTTGAAACAGGTATTGAAACAGGTATGGACGAACGTTAAATGACATTCGGGGCGGAGCGTGCAAGTAGGCACGACGGACAGCACTGATTTCGCTCGCATGGGACATAGCTGCAATCCTCTCCCGGTCGCTGGTGTGCCTACCCCTTGCGCTTATTCAAACGACGCTCAGGGTCTGCACCAGTCGCCGGAGACACCTGGTATGCCGAGTGTTGCTGCTCGGGCTGCCTATGCTTTAGCTGTGCCGCAGAATTCGAGATTTTAGTGAAGGTTTCTGAGGTCTAGAATTCAGGGACCGGGGTTTTAAGGCTTAGGGTTTAAGACTTGGATTTAGCACTAGCTGAATCCACACCCTAAAATCCCTTGTTACACGGCATCCATACGAGACCACTGAGGCCGAGAGCCACATGATACGGACAACAACAAGTCTCTGCACTCCGCCATGTCCCCAAATCCTTTCCAATCCCAAACCCAGAGCAGTTAAAACAGTAACCGCCGGAAGCCCTGAAGGCATGTGAAGCCACTCTGTCCCCATATAAACCCTAGGCCATCATCCCCGAAACTTTGAGCCCAACAGCCCACTAACCTGGCTCCAGAGCTTCAGCAAAGCAAGATAAACCGCTTAATCATCTCCTGACAGAGGGGGCGAGTGAGCAGCTTCGTTGTTTGGAGTTTAAGGGTCTTCGGTTTAGGGATTCAGTGATTAGGGATTCAGGGTTAGTTTAGGGTGCAAGGTTTTGCGGGAGTACCCTATACCCTAAACCGGGAATACGATCACAAGCCCAGCCTTACCACAAGAAGATGTCGAGATTTGAATCGACGAAGGCATCCACTCGCTCCCAGAACTGAGCATCATGCTTGCACAACTTATTCCACATAGGGCTTACGGTTTACGGTTTAGGGTCTTGAGAGGTGGCAAGAAGTGGATGATGCTCTGGCAGAAAGGCTGTTTCTACAGCGTGTTACATGGTAGAGCATCTCCGCATGTCCTGCATACGGCTAGACTATGTGGCATGTCCCATAGTTTCGGAATTCGTTTAGGTTTTAGGGTTTGCCTCAACGCATCCTGAGACCCTGATCTTCGCAGGAAAGTACACAATGCGTGGAAGAGTTCTTCATAGGTGCATGCGGTTGAGGAAGGTAGTTATGTGGTGGTGCATTCCCCAAAATACGGACACTGACTCTCCGAAAGTTTTCCGCATACTTTGCTTGCAGCATGTAATCCCTCTTCATGATTTGTGAGGTCGAGTTTTGTTCAACAAGCAGTCCTTGGGTCACCTCCAACTCCCAATGACTGGAATACATCTCGCCCACCCTGAACCCGGAGCTCTGGACTGGGTTCAGGATTTTCGAGTCTAGACTCTGGACTCAGGCCGTTCGCGCCAAAAACGGGAGCATGCACAAGAGTCATGCGGTACTGCGTTCCGGAACACAGAAGTTCGTCTTGGCGAACCTAGAAGCGCGACAGCTCACCCAACCCCAGAAAACCCCACTTTCCCTGAGCCCAGAAGCCGGTCCTTTTGGCGGCGTGGTATCCCCTTGCGTCAAGTCGATGGCGCGTCCACGTGCGAGAAGACATGAAACCACGCAGGTCTGGTCACGGAAGGTCCTCGAGACCTGAACAGCAGGGGAGTGCCTGGAAAACCCACTGGTCTGCCTCTGCAGTGCAACGCTCAGCACAAGACGGAGCAAGCTCCGTGCGAAGCACGCAAGAAACGTACGACTACTCCAATTAGTCCTAAGTACCTATGACTGCTACGCCTATAAGTCCAGCCTATCCACAGCCGGTCGTACCATTTGTCGACGAACTCGGCCAGCTCGAAGTGGAAGTCATCCTAGAATCTGGGGCTCCGGGTTCAGGGTGGGCGAGATGTGTTCCAGTCATTGGGAGTTGGAGGTGACCCAAGGACTGCCCAAACAAAATTCGCCCTGAAAACTAGTGCAAATGGATTACATTTGGGAAAACGCTTGCTGTCTAAAGCTGATGTAGTGGGCTCTAGTTCAACTTGTTTTCACATGTATATGTATGGCTTCGCTCGATTCAGTCTGGTCTGTTTGCCGAAGCAATTCTCCGGAACGCGTCTGTTGAATTTGTGCCAAATCCGTGTACTCCGCAGCCGCACCTGCGTGAACATGCAAGTTCCTGAAAGCCTGACAATCCTAACCCGTGCAGGAAACGCTGCCGTGTCTCGGTTGGCTTTTGGATCTCGCTTCGGCTTCTGGGTACACTCGATTTGTGGGTTGGGTTTCTTCCCATCCGTCCAGTGGGTTGGGTTTGAGACCAAGAGTCTCAGGCGAGGGTTGAGGTTTGGGCCTGTGGCTCGTCCATCCGCAATCCAAAGCTCCGACTTAAACTCTGAAACCTTGACAAACTCACAAAGTATCTCAAAGTTGTACAACCCTAGCAACTTCTGTTGTTCTCGTCAGGGCAATTGCTGTCCCCCCTTTGCAACAGCTCTTCGTTTCCAAATCGCTAGATCCAATTTCTAAGCCAACACTTACGAAACCAAACCCTGAATTTCCATGCCTAACCCGATTAAACTAAACCCTGACTAGCCCTAGATCTAAGTAGTAAGCCTAAACCCAACAATCCAAATAAACCCCACAGGACAAATCCGCAATCCTAAGCCGAAACCCATTAAACCATAACCCCGACTAACCCGTCAATCCTAAGCCTCGAGCCCTAACTTTATCCAACGGCGCCGGGGTGCCGCCGACTGACCTGATTGATAAAACCCTTCTATGTTCCTTTAAGGAACCCTTTAAGGCACCTTAAGGTATATTCCTTAATTACGGGGTATTGGGATCTCTGGGTACCTGTGGCGAGTTGGCGCTTCCTCAGCTAAGGCAGCGGCTGAGCTTCGCCTCTTGAGGCCTTGGGATTAAGAGGGTTTAGGGTTGAGGGTTTAAGGTTTAGGGTTTACCTGGACCCTAAAGAACCTACCTTTTTGGGGTTCCTTCGCATGATTTCCTTTTTACGCCCTTTATTCAAAAGGTAGATTCTTCCGGGTTAAAGCAAGGTTTAAGGTAAAACTCCCTGGTGCTTAGTAGGGAATGGGGGAATGGATCCTTATAAGTCCCTTTTTCATCCCAATGAAAGCGAGCCGTTTCCTTAGATTCGTGGCATACCAAGGTCCTATCTTTTGAGTGAATTCCCTAAACCCGAAACACAATATTGCTAGTACTATAGCTGCTACTTCCGCTGACAGCGCGCTAACAGCTCATGGAAGGAAGAAGGCAAATGCCGACAATGTGACGCCAAAATACAAAACATCCGGAGCAAATCGTGTGCTAGCTTTGCTGTGGTAATGCCCAACACAGATCATCAGAGCTAGGCAATATGCCGATCAGCTGACTCGAAACACCACAAAGCTCCGGAACAGATCGTACATGTTCTTTGCTGTGATAATGCACAAACAACTCCTGGACTCCTGGAAGGAAGGCAAATGCCGACCACATGACGCGAAAACACCGGAAAAGGTCTCTGGCACCAATCGCACACATGCATTGCCCCGATGAAGCACTCCCCCTCCACAAACCCCCTCTTGTCCCCACCTATCGGCGACAAAGGCCCCGGTTTGTGTCAGAGCTAAAGCACCGTATCTTTAGGTTTGTTGGTTTTTGGTAGTCCACACCCTCGCAACAAGAAACAACACTACTAAAATTTGCGCTGCACTCAAAGAAACTGATAGAACACCTAGACATCATAGCAACCATGAAAACAGTCAGACCAGCGGCAAAAGTGCCATATTCAACCTCTCCCAAAGTTCGAAAAGAGCCCAAAGATCCATAACTTGGGCCCGGAGGCCCGCAAAAGTAGGGTGGAACTGCGAAGCTACGAGAAGCTACAAAAGCTACAGAGC